ACTAGAATTCCTGAGGTAAGTACCCCTAGCAAATGTACATGGCGATACGCACTGAATTCAGTAATACATAAAAGTGCAATGAACTACGTGGTGAACAAATTAATTGTTCATATTTGAATAGAATTACAGAATTTGGAAACAGGAAATGCTCTTTAGGTATTATCCACTTCAGTGTACTATCCTCCATAAGAAGAAATCCCGGCTCAGATATCTCCAGTAGTTATGCACATCTGGGCCTCAAACTCATAAAACTGGGATAAATCTAATGATAGAGAAATTTTTGCACTTTAAAGAAATCCTATAATGAATCTTTCCTCGCTGATAAAAACATGCACTGGTAAAAAGATGCTTGCCTGTCATTTAGCCGTTCCCTGACTCCGGGTTTGGATAAGTGTAGCTGTCATGGTGGAAGGTGTGCCTGAGACCACACACAGTGCTTATGCAGGAGAGCATGACAGCTCGCAGTGCCATGGCAGAGGTGAGTCACACCTGTGACTAGGGGTGTGGCGGCAGCTGGGTGTGAGCACGGCAGCTCCCGTAGGAGGTCACAGCTGCTTTCTGTGACCTGGCTCTCTGGGTCACTGGCACATCAATGTGAGATGAGATGAGCAGCTATCTCTGGAGCTACCTTTGCAGGAAGGGCGCTTCTCTGCAGCCACTGCGAGGTCCTACCTCCCACCGCCTCGCGCCTTCCTGCCCACTGAACTCCTTACCAAGGAGAAAACCTTCCTGGATCCAATGGCTTAGTCTGAAAATCCCAGTTGCATTTTCTGGAGAGAAAAGGTAGAGATGGAGAAACAGGAAGGCAGCAGTGCCTGGCGTGAAAGGCCTGGTGTCGGGAAAGGCTAGTGGCCCCTCTGGCAGAGCGGGAAGTGGAAGGAGCACAGTCTAATGCACGTCTAAAGCTGTGATGATAAACCTGCCTCTCTTGGGTGGGTCTCTCAGCTACGGAGATTCACCTGAGGCCACATGGGCAGGCTCTCAGAGCATCGCCCTTCTCAGAGAGGGGTCACACTGGAACCACTGAGGACGTCAGCAGAGTCGGCTCAAACACAGGCAAAGGGAGAGCGACTCTGAAACCACAGCATCACGCGAGGCCCAGCTCCCACGTGCATCCCTGGCCGTCTCCCCTGTGTGCCCACCCAGCGCAGGAGTGGAGACCACGAGCCACATCACTTGTACCCAGGGCCATGAGATCCCACAGGACAAGGGTTTTCAAACTTTGGATGGTAACTCATTACTAAGCTGCAAAATTAACAAAGCAAGCCAAAACCAAACTCCTTGGGAGACCTCCCTAGAGTGACATACACACGTGTAGCAGCGCCTGTGAACCTGGTCACAATGCAACGTTTATTTCTTACTGTGAATTATGGTCAGGATATAAAATCCACTTCTTACTGAGAAATGCTATGCCATCAGCACAGCTCCCTGCGTGAAGGGCCATTTGCAACCAGGAATTTAATTAGTGCATTGGCTGAGTATTAAAGATGTCCATACACCAACCACTCCACACTAATGGAGATGTACTCCAGCGACTGGTGCTCAAACCTCCCCAGAACCCACTCCAGCTGGCAGGTGTGGCGGGGCAGCGGTCAGGTGGGCTGACCAAATCCGGTGACCTCGGATTTGGAGATGAAGTGGAAGACAGGGTAGGGGGCCTATGGGGGCCCGTGGGACAGCGTAAGCCCACGCAGTGTCTAACAGAAGTCTGTCATCAAAAGAGAGGACACTTGAGGAAAGAATATTTACCTAAAGAGCCTGACGTTCATTTTCACTATGTCCTAAGAGGTGATCAGCATTTATCTAGGTGTGGTGGCACAGAGGCACTCTCAAAAATGCAGATCCGAGACAGGTGCTGCTCTGCCTGGCTTCTTCCATGGCCCCCACTGCAGCTAGGACGTGGCTCAAGCTCAAGAGCACTTGTGCCCTCCCACGGTCCAGTGTCCCCCTCCACTCCCAGTGCAAACCTCACACTGCAACCATCTGAGAGTGCCCAGGAGGCGTCTGCAGTGCCCAAGCTAGCAACTGCCCACCCACAGCCAGCCTGGGCCACGGGCCCCGCAGGCTCCGCTGGCGCAGCCTGGGCCACCCATCTCTCAGCATCATTCCCTTATCCATCTGCACCAAGCTGGGGAGCTCCCCAAGGGCAGGGAGTGCATGGGGTTCCTGCACCCCCAACACCAGACACAAGTACACCAGAGGCAGTCCCTGAAAGAGCAAAGATGGAAGGAGAACAGCGTCCACCGCTCCTGAGGTCACTGCCCTCTGCCTGGGAGGGCTGGGCCTCCTCATCCCGTGGACAGCCATGGTCCTCTCGTTCTTCACCTCGATATCCACTCAGTTGATACGCATGCACGCCGACTGAGCTTCCTCAGGCAAAAAAAAATGAAAACATGTCCCTCCTTCTCCACCACCCGCTGCCCTCTAGGCAGAAATCACAACACTAGCCAGCCCGGCGGACAGAAAGGACAGCAGACAACTCCAGGGGCTGCAGTCAGCTGAGAGAGGGATTCGCTTCATGAGGACTATTACAAATAACAGGTGAGCTTATCTCTGAGATACACGTTATACATAAATTATGTATACTGTATATGGTATATATCACACATCTGTGTGCATTATATTATATATAATTGTACACATATAGGATACATTATTTGCATACATATATTTGTGTGTGTGTGTATACATACATACATATACATACACATATTAGCATTTCTAATTCAATGCATAAATTTGTCCAAGTCAGGAAACAATGCACTCTGTAGTGGCTTTGCCCACAGAGGTCTGGAGCACTCTGGAAATCTTATTAGCCCCTCTTAGCATTTCCCAATCATAGTACTTCAGACTTAAAGAGACAGAGTTTTTCAAGGAGTGTGGCTATATACCTGATTTTTTCTTTTTTTTTTAATATTTATTTTTTAGTTGTACACCATACCTTTATTTTGTTTATTTATTTTTATGTGGTGCTGAGGATCGAACCCAGGGCCTCACACATGCTAGGCAAGCGCTCTACTGCTGAGCCACAACCCCAGCCCTGTACCTGATTCTTTTGCACACTACCATATCAGGGTGGACACGTGTCACGTGTATGCATTTCTCTATATAATACTGATTCACATCTATTATGAGGCTGGGTGTTTTTTGTTTGTTTGTTTGGTTTTGATACCAGGGATGGAACCCAGGGGCACTTAACCACTTAGCTACATCCCTGCCCTTTTTACATTTTCTTTTGAGACAGAGTTTCACTGAGTCGCTTAGGGCCTCGTTAAGTTGCTGAAGTGGTTCTGAACTTGTGATTCCCCTGCTTCAGCCTCCCAAACTGCTGGGATGAGAGACGTGCACCACTACACCCAGCTATGAAGCTGGTCTTTTCCCAGGGTCAGGTAATTCTGCCCATCTGTCCTTCACAGACAGGTAAGCCCAGAGTCGGAGAAGCTCTGCGATGGCTGCCAGGTTAGACAGAGACAAAATGCAACTTGGAGTAGCCCTGCCCACCTGAAGCCAGAGGGCAGGGCCAGAGCTGTGCACCCTTGCGACCTCCCCACCACAGAAGAATGAGAGGAAGGACCCTTCCCTGCCTGGGCCCCGCCACTGTGTCCATGCAGCAGCTGGGCAGCTGGACCCAGCACTACAGTAACCAACGACCAACAGGACCTTGTTTATAGAATAAATGACCACCACACACAGGAAGTCCCAGCTCTGCCAGGTGAACGACTCTGGTCAGAAAGGGTGAAGAGACATCTCAGCGGCAGAGTGGATTCCTGGTAAGCCAAAGGCTCTGGGTTCCATCCCCAGCACCATAGAAAATAAAATAAAATAAGTAATAAGAAGAAAAAAACCAAAAAGTGGTAAGAAGAGGTGGCGCCTGGCTAGTCGGAGCAGCGGGCACTGAGTTCTTCAAGGCCTGGGCTCCCGCTGCCCTCCCTGGGCCTAATTGGCTTTTCCAGTCTCCAGTTTCCTCGGGTAGTGAGAGAGTCGGAGCTGGTCATCTCTCAAAGTAGTGTCTAGCTCCAAAGTGGATGGAAGAAAAGCAAGGTGAGACAACGCTGGGGACCTACTGTCCACACAAAGTCCAAACAGGCCTTGTCCAGGGGCACCTTCTGCAGCTGCAGGTGTTCCCCAAGAACCTGGTATCCATGCCCAGGAGCAAGGGCGTAGAGAAGCAGGACAGATGACAAGAAGGCAGGCAAGCACGTTGCAGACATCCAGAAGAGACCCACCCACCCTCTCCAGGTGGCCCTCACCCTCTCCAGGTGGCCACCTGACAGGTCTGCTCTTCCTCTCTTTTGTTCCCTCTTCCTTCTGAGCCTGGCCCTGAGCACTGATGTCCCAGAGTCCCACAGTCAGGCCTGCCATCGTCTCCGTCTACAGACCCATCTTGACAGCCACCTATGTCCTAATGACCCCAAACCTATAACTTTGGGCAGGATCCCTTCCCTGAGCTCCAAATCCTTAATTTCTAGCCACAGTCTACAGTCTTAAGTGCAGAGCCCCCCCCAATACACCCAATTTTAATACACCATAAAGGGATCCTTCCTCCCAGACCAGCACCTCCTCTTCTTGTACTCTTGGACTCAAACAGGCGTGGCCACCCCAGTTCCTGCACTCCCATCCCCCACATCCTTCAACCCACCAGTCCCTAAAACATCTCTGGCCAGGACTGGGGTCCCTGCACCTGTGGGGCGGGGGGCAATTCCTGGGCATGAACACCAGAGCCCTTTACAACATGACCATCCAGCCTGATGGTTGACCTCGACTCAGGTCCCTACGACAGCCATTTCCCAAACCCACAGAGCTCCTGCCCGCTTCTGAGCAGCTTATCTAAGATTCCCATCTCCCCAGGTTGGGATTCCATGGGGACGGGGGTGAGGATGCTGCCTTCTCGTTCCTGGAAGACCTGCGTGGACAGAGCCATAGTATTCTCACTCTTGGTGGCTCCGATGGCCATGGCTAGGACCCGAGCGTGAAGTGTGGGCACGTGGGTTTTCACTCACATGCAGGAACTCCTTGGTGTTTCTTGGGCTCTTCAATAATTACAAATCAGGCAAATCTGAAATGCGCTGCCTCGTGACACGGTAAGCACCCACCACCGCGGCTGCTGTCGGGTGCTGGGGAGGAATGCAGCCATCAGACAGGACTGCAGCTGACAAGCAAGAAACTCTTTCCTCCTCTGAGATGATTTGACAGACACAGAGACCACATCCGGCTGAGCCACTCTGCTCCTCACTCAGGGTCCTGTTGCCATGGCAGCCTCAAGGACACACCCTACAAAGACCACCCTGACGCCCGTCATGAAGATCAGCCATGACCCACATGTCCCCGAAGCCTTTCCAGAGCTTCAGGAACTAGGGGCAACAGCCATTGACTCTGCCTTAAAAATGGAACTTGAACCCCACGTATTCTTGCTACAGGAAGCAGGAAGTTACAAATTCTGGTTTTTTGTTTTTTTTTTTTTTTGTGTGTGTGTGCTTGGCTTCACTATAAGAGACATTAAGTGAACGAATTCAGAAGATAAAGATCAGACCACTCTCATATTTATTCAGAAGGATTTTTTTTTTCTGTTGAAGTTTTCAACATCAAATAAATATATTCCAGATCCTGATCTTTAATAAGAGCTTATATCCTACCCTGGTCAAGCCAGGGGTAAAGAAATACAAATCTTCAAAGGATCAAATACTTCGTTTTAGCTGAACTTTCGACATGACTCTGAGTCATGCCATTAATAGAAAACAACGCCGGGAAGATCAGTTGAGAAGCAATCAGGGCCTATTCCAGAATGTCTGCTGACTGTGGGACGTGCACACAACGTTGTGAGTTCAAGACTTACAGAAACAAATATTTACTTTAAGTTTCAAATTATGTCTATAGGATGCTCATAAAAAAAAAAAAAAGGTCAAACCCAACTAGGAAATCCTGGGGACTTTGAGATGGCTCCCCTCTGACTGAAATGACATCCATCTAATGGGCTTTTACAGGAATGACATTCAGTATCAAGACCATTTACTCTTAGGGCATTTCTCCACATGGGGACACAAGTAGGTACTATCAGAAAAGGCAACTGTCATGGAGGGAACTCACGCACAGGCTACATGATGCTAGTCAATGCTCGTAGGAGTGCAAGGTGGGCAAGGTTGCTTCACACAAACTGCACGGCTCTCCACGGACTGGACAATTCAGCAGCAGGCCACTGTGTGGTCCTCAGGATCCTTTCCTATCTCCCCAGCTAAGCTGTTAAGTTGCTTATGGACAAGGACACTGTCCTGGGCTCCTTGCTCCACGCACTCATAGCACTTTGCACACCCAGTGTTAGTCAGCTCTCATGACTATGACAAGATACCTGAGATAATCAACTTTTACAAAAGGCAGGTTTATCAGGGCTCATGGTTTCAAAGGCATCAGTCCATGACTGATGAGCTCCATGCATTGGGCCTGTGGTGAGGGCCGCACAACATGGTGAGGAGTGCGAGGTACAGCAAACTGCTCCACTGATGGTGGCCAGAAAACAGAGATGGAGAGGGGAGGAGACCAGCTTCCCACAATCCCCTTCAAGGTCATGACCCAGTGACCTAAAACTTCCTATTAGGTCCCATCTCTTAAAGGTTCCACCACCTTCCAACAGCACCACGCGGAGGACATAGGCTTTGGGCTCAGATCCACACCAGTGCTCCAGCCCGACCCCAGTAACACTGTCAACCCTTAGTTTATCACTTCTGCCTGCTGGGCTGGTTGCCCCTCCCTTCCTTCCTTCCTTCTTTCTCTATAAGGAAGGACTGAAAGACTCCCGGGCATATACTACTCGAAGCATCACCAAGTTCATCTCCACCGTCTTCACATGTGCAGGAAACAGAATAAAGTGCTTCCACAGAGGATTTTAACAGTCACTTTCTACTTGCATGAAATGTGCCCCTACTCAAGAACTCAAATAATATCTGTCACTAGAGAACATTTTTAAGAGGCAGTAATGTTCACTGTGAAAAAGATTAGAAATAGAGATAAATGAACTAACCAACATTATAACCCTCACTGCCAAAGTTACCCAATATTAGTGGCAAGTATCTTGCAGATCAGATGATTAGGCATGTTTTTATAAAAAAACGGAAAAAAAAATCATATTACAGATACTGTTATATAAAGTTTTCATTTAATATATATTAAAACTCATTCTATGCTGATGACACTTTTTCTTTGGAACAAAACATCTACATATCCACAGTATACTTGAGACCAATCTTTAAAGTTCACAATAGCAGTCATGTCTGCTAATGTAGAATCTCTGATGACAAGATCAGGTCTAGTAGAGATGGCAGCAAAGACTGTGCACAGTACCTGGAATTGTCTGTAGACTTGTGACGAGGACAAGGCATTGTAAGATACCAAGGTTCGCACTGTATTACCACTCCACCGAGGAGCGCCTGCTAATTTGGCAATTAAAATGTTTCACATTTTTTAAAAATGAGACTGAGTATAAAGACTTAAGGCACCTCTGAGACCACAACCAATATTTATTTTATTTTTATTACAGTACTGCTCCTGACACTACATATTTTATCATGAAAATGAGAACTAGCATTATCATCGTCAGCTGTCAAAACAGTTCCTGAATGCCAAGGTCATAAGCCATCACTAATTCAAAGACAACGTGCGGTAGTTAAGAATGCAAAGCCGTCCTCAGAGCTGACTCCCAGACTCAGCCTGACATGGTGCATGACAGGCTCCGCTCTGTTTAGACAAAGCTCTTTTGGGCGCTGGGATAATTAAAACATACACACATGCACTTGAGAAACCTGCATGTTAATTCCCAGTCTCCTTTTCCTCGGGTGCGGTCCTGGAGATTTTCATTAAGGGAAGCAGAGTGCAGCTGTCAGCAAACGCCCTCCTGCCCCCATTCCTATTATTCTCCAGCCCTGGCTGCCAGTCGGCATTTTGATGAGTAACCTGATAACTACATCACACAGCGCTGGTTAGACACATGATTAGCAAAAGACAGTCAGGCTCTCGTACCTTAAGCAAAGAAGAAAAAAAAAGTAGTTTTCCACTTAAGCTCTTCCACAGAGGCCTGAAGTGCCCACCAAGCTCACAGCTAGGATCCACCTCCCTCTCGTGTAATCTGCATAATCGGAGTCCAAAGGAACCTTCCTGCCCATAATCCAAGTACATACAAGCCACGCTCAAGGACAACTGGATGTGTCACTTTGGCCTTCCCTTCTCACTCCTGGTAAACTGCTTTCCATACTCTTAGATCCAGCAAACTATCTTCGGCTGTTGTAACCCTTCTAATTTTCTATCTGTTTTATTCAACTTGGCTTCAAAAATGTGTGTCTGTTTCTGTGAAGATCCAGCTAGAAACATCCGGATCACACCTGGAGCAAGGAGACCTCGATGGAAAGGTCACCCAGCTGCAACCTGGGGACTCAGAGGTTTCACAGCCAGACAGCGGTACCCATGGGCTTTCATTTTTTTTAAATATTTTTTTAGTTGTCCGTGGACCTTTATTTTTCTTATTTTTATGTGGTGCTGAGAATAGAACCTAGTGCCTCACACGTGCTAGGCAAGTGCTCTGCCCCTGAGCCCCAGCCCCAGCCCCAGCCCCATCCTCAGTGGCCGATCCAAGTCATTAGCTCCACCAGCTATCTGTCCATATCTGAGCCTGGGTCTGTGGGGAGCCTGCTCCGACTGGCTGCAGGCAGAGCCCAGCAGACAGCACCAAGGAGAGGAACACAGGCCCTGGAGGGGAACCACGCAGCCCACAGCCCTCATCCTGCCGCAAAGCCCTGCATGGACCAGGCAGCCTCACCTGTGGCCACAACACCTGACAGGGATGAGGGCCACAGGGAGGCATCTGGACCTCCTCGGATGACCTCACTCAACTGCCAGGGAACCTGCACGGACAGACCCGGCAGGGTGACGTTCTGACCTTCCAGCAGATGGGACGGCGCAAACCTGGCTCAGGGCCACAGTGGAAATGGCTGTCTCGGCTGGGGTGGGGGTGGGGTCAAGCCATGCAACCACCACCCAGAGGGAGGTGCAACAAGTTCCTGGGGTCTCTGTAAGGAAGCTGCAGAGACCAAAAGCTGCTCTCCAAACCTGACGTCTCCCCTTTCCTCGAAATCATCACCACCCAAAACATCAGTATATCATACACATATAGGTGACATAAAAATGGGGACAGGCATTCTGAAGCATATTTGGAGAGAGTGAGGATCCTGTGGCCACATCGGGGGTCTTCTCAGCAAGCCACAGGCTCTTGCAGAGGGTGCTGCTTTTGGAGCTCAGAACACTAAATGTGTGCCGCTAACTCTACTCCCTCCACTGCAAGCTGATGCTTACATGAGCCTTCAACTCACAAGTACTTGGTGCAAACCTCAAAGGCCATTCTCAATGCAAAACGTGGTGGGGTTTTTATGTTCCTATCCCCACGCCCCCTTCTCTGAGGAAAAACAGGAACACCGGGGAGATCAGTGGAGATCAAAGGGGGAAAAGTGGGACATAAAAATACAGAAATTCTCCTGGGGCCAGGAAGGGACCTTCCCATCACTCAGGCTTGCCTGGTGAAGGAGCCGTTGCCTGGTGAAGGATCCGTGTGCGTCCACCTTCCTTGACTCAGTTCCCCCAGGCGAGAGGCCTTATGTAAGAAAGTCCAGCATGCCTGCATCTCATATTTTACCTTGTTGAAAAATATTGGAGATTTTTAAAGCAAATAAATGACAATGGCCAGTGCATTTGAAGACAGAAATGGGAAAACCCACACTCACCAATGTTCTTCTCATGACCATTCATGCTTACTCTGGATAACCTGGAAATGGCTCAACCCCCAAATCTCAGGGATGTTTTGTCATACTGACGCTCTTCAGTACTGATACCACAATGGAAGGATGAGGTCTACCAGACAAGGCCCACGGCAGCACTGACTGCGGAATCTAGGCAGGATCATCACTGGTGGACACTGTTGATGTCCTCGCTGGATACAATGCAGCACGTGCGTGTCCTCCCTTGTGTTACCTTGCTATACCCCGGTTAGGTTACAACTTCCCAAGGGCAGAAGAGACCCTCCACAGGACCCTATTCTCAGTCTGACCCTAAAATAAACCTGCCTCCAAAGTGCCTTAGAGGTGTGATTTTTTTTTCCCTCCACTGATAACAAGAGACAACCAGCAAGAAGCTAAGAGGCTGGGTCCTGGGTGGCAGGAGCTTGGCT